TTTTCTTGAAGCAAGTTTTGACATAAAGATCATGAAAGCGAAAATTGATGAACTTGGATGGCAGCTGGAGCTTTCAACAGAGGCCAAGGAAATGTTGAAGCAGAGGCTGGATATTGCTTTGGACGATGTTTGCTCCCTGAATGAGGAGAAAACCACATGCATTGCCAAATGGAATGCCGTAGCTTTGCAGAATCAAAGTTTAGAGGCAAATTTGCAGAATATTACTCACGAGAACCTCTTCCTTCTGAAAAAGATTGATGAACTAGAAGCTGTAGTGTTGGAGTCCAAGAATTGGAAGACCAATTATGAGACATGCATTTGTGAGAAAAAAGAGCTTGCAGAGCTTATGGATAAAGAAGTGCTGGAAAAAATTCATCTTCAGACACGGTTTGCTACTGTGCAGGCTGACTTTGATGCTCTGAGAGGTAAGTTTGATGATCTGGCTACTGCAAACGGAAATCTGCAGGAGAACGTCAGTAGCCTGAAGGATAAGTTGATGAACACGTTAGGCTACTACAATGAAAAACTGATTTCGTTGCCTCTATGGGAAGGGGGAGTGGATCTTAATTTGGAGTCGCATGATTTAGCGGAGCAGCTTGATAAATTCTTGTGTAAGATCTGTGAGAAAAGTTTTGTACTTAAGACGGAGAATAAAGATCTGATGCTGGAAAAATCTAAGACAGAGTATTATTTAAAGGCTGCAAAGTCTGATATCACGGAGCTCAAGCAGAAGCATGAGAATGATGTACAGTGTTTGGTCATAAAACTAGAAGCTTCCACTGCTCTCCTCCAGAAACTTCAGTTGGAAACTGAGTCTATCATGGACAAAATGAAGGTTATTGCTGAAGCTGAACAAAACTATGAGAGCTGTCACATGGACTTTCTTTCTCGCCTTGACTATTTTGAGAATGAACTGCATCTACTTGTGGCTAAGAATGAGGCACTTGGTCAAGAGATTTCAGAATTAAGCTCTGTAACTGTTGAACATGGAAGAACCAAGCTGCTTGTGGAAGTACTTGCTGAGGAGAAAAAAGGATTACTGGTTTCTCTTCTGGATAAATCTCAGGAAATTTTGGGCCTTGTGCGTGAGCTTGAGAATTTAAGGACAACACATGACCTCGAGTTGAGACTTGAAAGAAGCTCAAGGCAGGAACTAGAAATGAAAATGGAAGATCTTACTTCTGAGTTGATTGCGAAAAATTCCAAATTGCTGAGTTTTGATGAGCAAAGCTCTGAGTTGATCCGTCTCAAGCAAATGGTTTCCAATCTGGAGCTGGAGAAGAGAACTCACACTCATCTTTTGTCAACATATGAAACATCTGTGAGAAGCTTGAATCGTGATTCATCATATATTTCCAATCTGGAATCTCAGTTACTTGAAATGATGGAATTTTCAGTAGCAGCAGATGTCCAGATTGTTTACACAAGAACTGAGTGGGAGGCTTATGCTGAAGAGCACCACAAGGAACATTTCGAGGTACTGACTGCACTCAATGACTCTCGTAATATTGGAGCTCAGTCTATGGATGATAATATAAAGCTGTTGACAGATATCGACTCCTTAAAATCAGACTTGAAAGTTGAGACGAGTTTGAGAAACAAATTAGACAGCAGAATTGAAGAACTCGCTTCTGAAATAGATGAAAAGCATTTGCTGTTGGAGAACTTTGATTTGCAGAAATCTCAAGTGAAACTTTTGGAGAAGATGGTAGCTGAGCTGGAATCTGAAAAGTCTGTTCAAAGTTCGGAGTATGTTAGAAATGCTCATCAAGAGTCTTCTTTTATTGAAGAACTATTTCAGTATCTAATAGCTGCAGATGTTGAGGTTATTTTTACAAAAATCCAGTCTGAAACCTGTATCAATGACCTTGCAGAACAACTTAGATGCTGCTCTAAGAGCCATCTTGAGTTTCAAAAGAAGCACACTGATGTGGAATCTGCCCTCAACCATTGTCTAGTCAACGAAAGACGGTATATGGAAGAAAACAATCAGTTATTGATTAGACTTGGAGACTTGAAGTCTGAGCTAGAGTCTTCCATGGCTAAAAGTAGAGCTCTTGCTGGTAGAAATGATGAAATGTCAGTTGAGCTTGAAGGATACGCAACCAGGCATGAGAATGCAGAAAGAAGTTACACTAAGAGAAGCCTACGTGCTCATGAGGTTGAGCAATTGAAATCTTTATTGATTGGGCAGGAAGAGGAAATAGAAAACTTGACGGTGTTAAAGGCTGAGGCGGAAATTACAGTCGAGGTACTAAAAGATAAGTTAACTGAGGTGTGTGGAAAAGGTGCCAGTGAGCTTGAAACACTGAAAAATAGGTGCGGTGATCTCACTCAGAAGCTCTCGGAGCAGATTCTGAAAACAGAAGAGTTCAAAACCTTGTCCATTCATTTGAAAGAGCTTAAGGACAATGCTGAAGCTGAATGCACTCGTGCCCGTGAAAAGGCTGACTATCCAGCCCCACTAACTCCACAGCAAGAGTCGTTGAGAATCATTTTCATCAAAGAACAGTATGAAACCAAGGTGCAGGAACTTCAACATCAACTGACCATGTCCAAGAAGCATGGTGAGGAGATTCTGATGAAATTACAAGATGCCATTGATGAGATTGAAGCAAGGAAAAAGGCAGAATCCAGCAATTTAAAGAGAACTAAAGAGCTGGGAGATAAAATATTGGAACTGGAGGCTGATCTGCAATCTGTTATCTATGACAGACGTGAGAAAACAACAGCTTATGACATGATGAAGGCTGAGCTGGATTGTTCATTATTAAGCCTTGAGTGCTGCAAGGAAGAAAAACAGAAGCTTGAAGCTTTTCTGCAGGAATGCAAAGAGGAGAGACTGAAAATGTCCAAAGAGCTAGAATCGATGAGAGAGTTAGTACAACGTTGCAGCTCTCATAAAAATATTCAGATGGTAAAACATGATATGAGCATGGAGGATGGTGTATCGGAGGAGTTGGCTGACAAAAATATAGTTGCAGTCTCTTCAGGCGACTTGGTGAACCACGAGCCTATGGTGTGGACCAACAGTCCCAGGCCAAAAATTCAGGTAACCGTCGGTTGGATTAGCATTTATGTAGAAGTTATATCTTCAAGTTCATGGTGTCTAGACCTCATGGTAAAACTAGTTTAGCTCCTACCAGTCCAGTTAAAAATCTGCTGCACCTTTTTTATGAAATGCTATTCATTTACGTGATTCATCGAGCTGGTAATGACTAGGCTACTAGTGTACAATGTTTTCTGTACATATATCTCAAGTTAGATATTAACCATATTATTTATTTATTGCGACTGAACGGAAAAAGGGTTTACTATCTGTTTCTTATCCTCCTTATAATATGTATACCTTTTAATGTATGCTTATCATTTCATCAGGGTGCTATTCAATCTAGTGGCGTAAATGAAAATGGAGACCAAACAATGGTGCTGGATAAAAGTGAAGAAAGTTTAGCTTTGATCAATGATAATTTCAGGGCAGAGACTTTAAGGTCTAGCTTGGATCACTTAAACAGTGAGGTAATATTGGATTGTCTGTTCAAATATCTAAAAGAGGAGTTCAAATAATTGGAGGGATAAATATCGCTGAATTGGTATTTGATTAGATTGCAATTCGAAATTGCAAATGTCTACTAGTTAGTAAGTATCTAGAAAAAAAAATTACTGTGAGGGCCTAGCGTCACTGGATCTTTCTTTTCTTCTTTACAGCTAGAGCGGATGAAGAATGAAAATCTAGTTCAACCTCAAGATGAAAATGATTCGGACACCAGATTTCCGGGTTTGGAACAGGAGCTGATACAGCTGCGTCAGGTACAGATGTTTACTTTTTTTAGAGATTTTCATATATTGAAGCATGTGTGTACTTCGAT